TGATTCTATGATTCTATGATTCTGTATGTATGTATTAGTCAGGTTCAGTATTTCATACCAAGGTAGTCATGCTGTTTCTGTTGGATGACTCCTCAGACTCACTAGTTCCTCAGCTCCAGGATAGGTTACAGTCACTGTGCCATGGGAGAGAGCGGGCACAAAACTGCTGAAACATAACTGCTAGCTTGCTCCTTGGCATGGCTCTGACCTGTGCCAATCTGCACAATGCCCAGGGGTTGTTCAGGATATAGGATGGTGCAAGGACTGCCACTGCAAAACATATGATTCAGGCTGTCCTAATTTAGGAGGAAAAAGAAAGTTTAGCCGCACAGCCACAGGCGATGCGACGCTATTTGCCTTTTTGAAAAGCCCAATAATATTGTCCATCTGGTTTTAAATACAGGTATTCCTTTCATTTCCAGAAAGTGCAATGATATTTATATGGAGCACTTTAAAGCTTCCAGTAATAGGTGGTCATAAAACATTTAGGTGTTGCTGGGAAATGGGAATAAACCAGTGTGTGGGAATGGTTCCTTATGAAATTATTTACACTTCAGTTTTATATTGTAGTCCTTGGAAGTGCATTGGGCATGCATAACTTGTATCTATCTCCCTGTAGGTCACTCTGACAATTTGAAAGAAATCTAAGAAAGGCATGTTCTTTGTGTATTAGTCGTTATGGCTGCATTTTTATAAGAAATAAACGCACTTCCCTACAGTCTTGGTCACACATTGCTTACATCACGTAGCTCATCAGATGGGCCTCTCCCTCCATTCACTAAACTGTTTATTATATGCTGTATATTTGGGGAATAATTGGTTACTAGCAGAATGAACTCTTTTTTTTTTTTTTTTGTGGACATATTTTTGTGATCACCCTCTAAACCTCTTTGGGATTTTTCAGGAATTCCTACTATATTCATTATTACGTGGACAGTGACACGGATCATTTTAGAGGACACTGGGTAAGTGTGTGTGGGAGAGAAAGCTTAAAGCCTCCAACTGTGCCAATAAAATCCTTGCCTTGGGTATGGTGGTGCTCACACAAAGGTAGTTTGCTGTTCTGAAGGGGACAAGCACAGAACTGAAATTTCAGATACGGCAACAAAGATACAGGTGTTTAGGAGCTCTTCAGCATGCTGTTTATGCTTGCTGTTTATTTGAAAAACTCTAAAGGCAGGAGAGGACAGAGATAGGTTGTGACTAACGTTATCCCTTGAGACCCACATTTAGAGCTATCTGTTTTACAAGTCAAAATAATACTTAAAATAGCAGTGGGGGTCCTTGGGTTCAGTGCTGCAATACAGTGCAGTAAGATGCTGGGCATTCTAATTTGCTAACTAGCAACTCAAAAGATTGAAATCTAGATAACTTTGGGTATATCTAAATTACATTCCCAGAAGTGAAGCAATGTGATGTAAACATATGTAAGATGCACGTAGTCAGGTAAAACCATGACTAACTAGAGCTACACCTGGCTCCTGGCATGGGAAGGGGAACTGAGATGATAAGAATTTTGTAGCAAGGTCAGACTTGCTGCTCCTGCTGGCACCAAGGAATGGGAGAGCATTCCTAGCTAGTGGGACAAATATTGTTCACACTCCTTTTTTTCAACCTGACTAGTATTTTTCAATTGATTCTGTAATTAAACTGAAAAATCATGTCCTACATAATTTCTAAGTTTTCTTTGCAAGATCTCTAACATGTAAACTGAAGGCTAACTCCTTTTTCCTTTGTCATGATCACAGCTAGAGGAACTCTGAAGGGTATTGCGCTTGCTTAAGATTAATTTTTCAGAGCACTTTTTATCAGAGTATTTGGACCAAAAGTACTGAGCCCACAGTGAAAATTAAATTTTGAGTTTTTCAAAGTTTCAGGTTCAGTCTCACATTTTCCTAAACCAGTTCCAGCCATCTGTAACCTAAATATCCCACAAGGAATTATGTCATTTCAACTGTATCTGTCCATTGCTTTAGATCTTCCTGCTATGCAGAGGCTGGTGTTAAGTGCTTATTGGAAAAGTGTCCTTACACAAAGCTTGGTTTCCCTAAAGACCAATGTCCTCCATGATGTCTAATGGTACAGTCTAGTGTGCCTGATGTTTTAGCTGATTTGAATATGCATATTAAAATCAGGGAAATAAAATTAAAAGCAGAAGAAGATTGAATGCCAAATTCTAGGCTAGAACAGGCATTATTTTAGTGTGCTTTGACTTGTCTATAAGAAATACTTCTTTCTCCTTATAGGTCTTGCTTGCCCGATGATATTAATGTCAACGTCATTTTCCCTCTTTATTTTTATAGTTGCTGGGATACAAATGAGCATGGTGGTCCCTGGTGGGTTATACGAATACCAATTTTAATTTCTATTATAGTAAGTAAACTTTGAAGCATGAATTATAGATCAGTTCAGCATTGTGCAGTGCGTATAACCATTATTTTTTACTGCTAGTTACAGATAGGCAAGAATTCTGTTTTAATGAAAAGAAATTGTGCTGTAGGAGAAATGTTAAACATATGCCAAGGCCATTAAAATTTGTTACCTTCAAAATTTATCTGTCTCCTATTAAATGAGAAGTTGCTTTTATTTGTATGTTGTTCTTTCTTTAATATGTCTCCTGTTTATGAGCCTGGGGGAAGCAAAAATCTAATTATACTTTTCAATTAATTGCAGATTTGATTTTGTGTGTAAATAGATAGCCCTGCAATTGAGAATCTGATATTATTACAGCCATAAAAAACTATGGCTGTGTATTTCTTTCTTCAATTGGTAGCCTACTGAAATATACGTTGAACATGAAGTATTTGCAAAAGAATACCATTTGAGAATGTTTCATGGGGCTTTTCCTATGTGGAACTTATTAGAATTACTGGAGCAGCATAATAAAATTCCTGTTCACTGTGATTATTGTGTAATTAACTTTGGGCATAATATACTATGGTTGTATGTCCATTTCTGAAAACAGTCACAGTGCAAATTAATACATTTCAGATACACTTGCTTTATTTTTAACATTCTAGTCAGAAAAATTAGGGCATTATTAGATTACACAAGATTTCAAGAGTCCACATAACGCTTGGGCTTGCCTTTCAATCTGTGCCTGCTGAAAATCATTTTGAGAGAACTTCCTGTCATCTTCATCAGAGTGAATTCTACAGTGTTTAAAGAGAAAGCGGAGCAGGTGTGTGTGTGGAATGACATAAGGTAAGGACTCACAGAAAAGATGTTTTATGGTAGGAAGAAATGGGCATGCAACAGAGCTACAGCATGAAGAGAATACATGTACCTCAAAGGAGCTGGAGAATGGGGGATGGTCCAGAGTGAAGAAAATATGCTGAAAGATAAAAGCAAACAAGCCACCTGGTGTTTACAGGAAGATGAAAGTCTATTCTCTGGATGTTCCATTTAAACAGCTATCTGGTAGACAGCTGAGACCTCATGTGCCAGAAAGCAGTGCTTTTCCAAAGAAGTCCTAGATCTGGAAACGGAAGTTACCCAAGTGCTCATTGGCAGACTTGAATTGCAGCTGGATCTTAGCAAAGACTGGGAAATGAGTTGTGAACTAAGAAAATGGAGTACTAGTCAGTCAGCAGAAGTCCAGTATATCATAAAACATGGACCAGAATCACTGTTTGAGGCAAAGGAAAAGTCGTTCTCTTTTTTTTTTTTAATGGTTCTATTACTGATTTGATACAAAGGGATTGTAAGACATAGGGAAACGTTTTGCAAATGACCTTTTTTGGCTTACTGGGTGCACATGTTTAGGATCTGCTGTCTCCTTCCAGGTATGTTTTTTCTCTTAAACAGCATGTTTTAGGGATGGGAAAAAAATGGCCAAGTGATTCTGCAGTGTGTACTGTGTGAAGCCACTTACTTCTCCGATTAGATGATTCTTCAGCTGTTTGATCAACTACATTTTGCTTTTGGGAAGTAAAGCTGTGAAAGGGAGTTACAAAAGCAGTGATACTCACCCTTTCCTGCTGGATAAGTAAAGTATCTTGTTGGAGCATCGAACTACTACCAGCACATTCATTGTGGCAGCTAGGATGCTATGCAAACTTACTACTTGCAAAGTAGAGCATGCATTCATAGAGCAAGAGGAGCTAATGAAATGTCACGTAAAATTGGTCACTGATGAGTGAAAAACATTACATTCACGAGAACATAATTTTCAATATACGCACACCATGTTAAGCCTCAACATTTCCTGTTACCTTCTAGAAAAAATAAAAGTTGAAGATTCAAATCTTTGAATAATGAAGTCAGTGCTGCCTGCCATTCAACAATGAAAATAGATCATTGCAAGTTCTTTGATTAGGTGTTGTGAGAGAGTCATGATATTTCTCAATAAAAGTATGATGTACTTACATCATACTCACTCACACAGTGCCTTCGGTCTGCTCGAGAATGTAAGAAGACTGGAAGACTCGCAGAGAATGGTGACAAGGATGACCAGCAATAACAAATGGCTTCAGGAAGGACATCTGTGTAAGTAGTCAATGAGATGAACACAGGAAAACTCTGAAAGAAGCTGAATTTCAGGAAAATAAAGGAGAGCAGAACACCTAAGCTGAGAACTCTCATCGACTGTCTTATGTAATGGCATGAAAGAAAGCCCAGAGTATGGCTGATATTGAAAATCTTTAAGAGGAAGAAGAAAAGTGAACAAAAGAAGAGTAGAATAGAGGCTGGTTGTGAGGATGATGTCATGAATATACTTTCGAAAGACAGGAAATCAAGCAAAGGTTTTAAGGAACAATTGTTTAACCACATTAGATTTAACAGGAAGTCCGCTCAGTCTTCATGCCATATTCACTGTCTTCCATCAATTTCTGTGTTAACTCCAAACATTTTCACTGCTTAGAAGATTATACTTTCTATAAGGTTATTATCCAACAGTAAACAGTATTGTGAGAGCAAGTTCTGAAGTCGCTTCTCGAAGCGGGAATGGCTTCAGTTAATTCAGTAAGTCAGAAACCTACCCTGGCATCTCCTCTTGACAATTTTGGCTTTAGAAAAGTTATTTGGCAGGCTTCCATGCTTCATGCTGTACACATTTCAGAGTTTTTTAATTGGGGCTGACTATTCCAAACAGTCAATGTGGTGTTACCCATATTCTCCATTTAGCAAATGCCTCCACAGCTGCCTTCTCCATACTTCCACTTGCATAAACTGCCCTCATTTGGGATGGAGTGGTGTTTGGGTGGAAACAGTACTTCTGCCACATCAAAGTAACTGAGAAATGTTTATCTTGTTATCTCACATTGCACGTAGTGTAAGGGACTAAATAGCAAGAATGAAGCAAGATGAAGACAGTTTAAATGATACATGCTCAGGCAATGTGTTTAAACTCAAAAACTTATTGTCAGAAGTCAACCAGTAGAAAAGGGTACTAGGAGCATCTTGCTGTTACTCCACTAAAGAGGCATCATTTGTCATCACTGTCTTGCAGTTTCTCTGCATTCACATTATTTTCTTATTTTCCTGTTCTTAGATGTTCATTGAACAGTATGCATATTCTATTTTATTTAAAGACATAATACTGAAATGATTTTATAGGATTGAAAAGCTACAATACTAAAAGTAAAATTCCAGGGTCCTACTTGTTTCATATTTTATTGAAACATACTATTCTAAATCAGATATATACTTTAAAGGATTTTAACAAATGATCAATTCAATAATAATCTTAGAGAAATTAATTTGCTCCACTGTAGTAAGTGAGTGGCAGTTGCCACCTTTAGATCTTAATACCCAGTTTCAGCTGGCTGGATTTACAAGCTCAGTAGTGCCAAGGAGTGTTACAAACTCCAAACAAGAATGTTTTTCATTAATCCAAGATTGTGCTTACAGACAGAAAGGTATGTGTTTGAAAACAGACTTAAAAGTAATACATGAATGTCAGTCAAGAATGTGGGTCACCCGAGTGTAGTTTTGCAGATGATTTGATGCTTCAGAAACTAAAAGGATGACAGTTTATTCTGTTACAGTAGAAACTAGGGATGCCTGTGAAGAACAAGAAGTTATTCTGCCAATCCCTTTGCAGATACAGAATAAAGATTTTTCCTTCTCCTATTTTGTGGCTAACAAATACACAATAAAATGGAAGCTCTTTCCTTGACCACTAATACTGGCTCCAGTGCATCTGGAAAACTAAATGTATATCCCTTGGTCTGTACACTCTGCTGTGGTAAGTCTGTAGATACAATCAGCAATAACAGGCTTCTGCCTGTAACTTCTATAGGAGACTTGCATCGAGGAAAACTTCTAAGTCATCATCTGCCTGAAAAATGTATGTTAAGTTTAGTAAAGGCCTATATTTTCTAACATTTATTTTTTATTCTTCTTTTTTCAAAAATACTAGATCTAATTTTCCTAATTTTTTGTTTAATCCCTGTCAGTTCCTGTCACTTCCTTTCACCTGTCATTTCAAACAAAATATTAAATACAGAGGGGCGTGCAGTGGCTATGATCATAGTTTATTTATTAACATCACAAATTGTACTGGGTACAGACATTCAGACTTGAAATTCATTGAACAGGCACAGAAATTCATTGAACTTGAAAAGCTTACAGCCAAATTATTAAGACTGGAAAAAGAAGAGTTCCAGCAATACATCAAGGCAGAGACTGAAGGTTTATAGCAGTGAGGCATACACTGTCTGGTTGGGTACCCAACCTCCTGATTTTGGGCTTTGGGATGGGATTAGTTAAAAACAATAAAATGCTCATTTTCACAGCAGTAGAAATTTTTCTTTAGATTGATTTCTTCTAAAATGTGTGCATTTGTTGCAGTTGTAGCTGTAGTTTTTAGCTCACGTTGTTGCTGTGAAGGGATGGATTTTAAGTGTTCCCTCACTTCAGTACAGGCATGCTATATTTAGTGTGTGGTTTTCTAGACTATACCAAACAATCCAGCACCAGAAGCACCTGTGAACACAAGATGCCAAAAGCCAAGGATGAAGAAATAATTGGACTGAGACTTAGGATCTACTGAGTTTTGTACTTCAGTTTTCTAGATTAATCAGGGTCTGATCATAACTTTTTTTATGCAAGTGCCTTTCTATGAAATAAAATAATACTACTGTTCTATCTCAGAGGGCTGTCGTGAGAATTAGACTGCAGGGATTCAGTTCCTTCAGTGGTAGTGTCTGCATCAGTACCCAAGACAGACAGATACTTGTGAGAGGCCCTTTCTATGCTTGATTGGAGTGGACAGATCACCTGTGCAACAATCTTCTCTTCCCCTAATTCATGCAGAAAATATTAAAAGTCAAGGCGAGAGGTAAGAGAGGGTCAAAACTGTGTATGGGACTCACATTTTCCTTTGGACTTCCAGTCGTGAATCCACATGACAATTTAGGACAATGTTTGATTGTACCAAATCACATACAATGTCCCATCCTGCTAGGAAACCTGTCTTCAGCTGGGATTTTGGAAGGAGGGCATTTCTGACAACTGGGGCTTTCAAAGGCTTTTGCCAGCCAGACTAGAACTGGTGGCCATGCAGAGGTGCGCTGGACGTAACAAACCTAGTGAGGCAGAAAACGGACAATAGGTTTGCCAGCTCTAGCTTGATGTGTTTTGGCAGCAGGTACACAACACCCACTGGTGAGTTGATTTGTCTGACTTGATAAGCATTTCTTTGTGCTGCGTATTGAGTGGAGAAGTCAGAAATCACCATTATATTTGTTTTCTTTGCAGGTGAATTTTATACTTTTCATTAGTATTATAAGAATCTTACTGCAGAAGTTAAGATCTCCAGATGTTGGAGGAAATGACCAGTCACAGTACAAGTGAGTCATATTTTTAGATATTATATACAGAACCAAAATAATGTCTGTAAGATTTCCTCTGCTGAAACCTGCTACCAACAATTGCTATGATACTGTAATTACATTTAATTCAGAAGTACTTTTAGATGTGGTTTAATAAAGATCTTATCACTATGCTGCAATAGAGATAAACGTAATTTTTTTTATCAAACACTAAATTCAATAAAAAATCTGCAATTTCATAAAGACCAACAAGCTATTATTGAATTTGAGTTTAATCCATGAATGAATATGCTGATACAAAAAATATGGATCGTAATATCTTTATTTTAATGTATAAATATTTCATTTTGACATAACAAAAGTTTCAAGATCAAAACACTTTGCTTCAACCTCCTTAAAAACATTTTTTAAAAATTTTTCATTTCTAAAATACTTTTTGTTGTAAGAGCTGGAAAGAAGTTATGTCGTTCCCAAAAAGTAAAAAATGAAATATAATGTTTTATGTTGATTTAAAATAGCATCTTTATTTTTCTAGAGGAAAACAAGTGTTTCTGATTTAGATCAACTTCATTTCTACTTAGGCTTTCTTCTTTTATGTTTTGGTTTGAACACCAAATCCTAACATCCGTTGTTTCCACAACTTTAGAATCAAGGAATGTTGAGGGGCAATTTAAATGTATTGCTAAAATTGGGTTTGTTCTTTATTATATTGCCCTATCAGTTATTGTTGTTTATTATAATAGCTGCTGGATACTGTAATCCGGAATCAAGAGTCTGTTGTAGTAGATCTTGTATTAAAGCCCAGATATAGACACTGAATTTGACACTTTGGGATGGTAATATGATATTTCAATGACAAAACTTAACATGAACACTGAAAATTCAAAACCACGCAAATGGCCTTTGAAACACCTTTTCTTCATTTAACAAATACTGAATTTGTGTCCTAAAAGCAGATAAAACCTGGTGTGCTTAAGTAAAGCATACCTTTAAAGCCAAGAGAACTAGGGCCTTATGTGTTTTGTAAACAACATGACACATTTGATGCAAAAAGTGAAGAATTCTGATGCACCACGGAAAAGGCGACACGACTAGATTGACATAAGGCTTTGCTTCATGGAGCTACAAGGGTCCTTTTTTTGTGTTTGCTGCTTGAATTAACTAAAGATGTGGGAGAACCAAATCAACCTAGATGAAATTATGCAGTTGCCACATAATTATTTAGCACAATGACTGACCTATGGGCAGGAAATCCCCTTATTCTTGTGACAGGAACTTTTCTTTTTTTCCATGTGGTATTTATGTATTTTATGAAAACGAGGCATTCCCTTCCTAGCAGTCCCATCATTTTCCACAGTTTACTATAGTGCCTCATCGTATAAAATGCTCGTTAATAGCAACCTTGTCCTTCATTATTCAGCCCTGTGAATTCTTTGCTTTTAGCATTTGATTGCCTGATTAAGTTTGGATTGGATGGTCTTTAGCCGATACCCGTGGGAACAGTAGATTAGCCTCCTCAAGAAAACAGAGCAAATTAAAGGTCTGGAAGGCTCATTTTTCAAAATGCAAATGCATTTTCAAAAATACAGAGAAGAATAAGGCTATTTTGCCTGTCCCTTTCCTTCACTAAAATGTAAGTAAGTAAGTGCAGTATAGAGAAAGTAACATCAGCTAGACAAAAATTATTAAAACAAGTGAAAGCGAAATATGAGTCTAGAATGAATACTACTCATGCAAGTCACCATTTTTCTTCCCTTCCTCTGTCCCACTTGCTTGTACCTGGTTCCATCCTTCTGGTTGCTCATTTTACTTTTGCAATGGGTAAGGTTAAGTTCAAATAAAATCAGTTTTCCATTTCACTTGGGAAACCAGGAAATTTGCTGCCATCATCATCTCCTTCAGAATGAATTTCTTCTGCTAAGGAAATCCTATTTGTCCTGCTTACTGGTATCACCTTTAGATGTGAGGGTTTTACTATTCTTGAGAAACTTCGCTGCCAGAACTAATTATTTCTACATAAACAGATGCAGCTTCTGGGACATTATGGACAAAGAAAGGCCATGAAGACTGGCACAGAAAAAATAAAACTGCTTGAAATATCTTGAATTTTCTGTTAAAATAGTTGAATTCACAACAGCATCCTTTCACTGTTGAATCAAATTATATTCATCAAGACAGTGATGAATTATGGGACTCAACATTATAACTTCTTGACTTTTAGCTGATACCAGACATCCATGATCATGTATGACTGGCCCTGTATAATATATAAAACTGATGTTATTAGAGTGAAATAAGTGACAGATAAGCAATAATTAGCAATTCATCATTTCAGTGGTTTCACAGGCAGTTTGTCAGAGCTGTTCTGCTTAATAATTTAAAGTTCTCCTTCCTTAACTTCAGTAGGGTCTTGTGCTAAAATGTACTATGTAATTGACGACATTAAAAATCAGTTAATGGCATATGCTTAATACCATCAGTATAGTTATGAGATTTCAGTATTTGGGAGTAAATCTGAAATTGCTCATGAAAATCTCACAGTTGAAATTATTCTGGATTACATTTCCTAGGTACTGTTTGCATACTGTGTATGTGCAATGTACAGACTAACCATACAGTTGCACATTTGAAGGAAATTAACATCAATTAATTTCAGAAGAGAGATTTTGCCTTCCATACAAGAGGATCTGTCAGCATGATTTTGCAGGAAGGCATTATTCCTTTCCACTCTGAACCCTTTATGCCAGGTAAAAAATATCTTGAGAGATTTGATGGCAGCTCGTGACACTTTGTCGAATGTGGTCCTATGGAATAATGCAGTAAAACCCCACCCCCGAAAACCGTGCCACAAAACCAGGCTGGGAACTGAATGTGTGTCAGAGACACAGCAGAGCCCAGGTCCTACACCCTGCTGCTGTCCAGAGGGTCTTTTGGTTTAGAGAGGCCCTGCAGGCTTCTGCCAGCTTTTGGAAGAGTGCAAGGTCAGCAAGATCAAGTATAACATGGAATTGCACACATTAATTTATGAGGTTACTATGTGGTTAATCTCATAGCAAGCCTGAAAGGAAAACAATTTGCAATAAATGACTCTTACTAAGACTGTTTATAAATCTGAAGTCATACGAGGTTTACGTAAACAACATTGCATCAGGTTCTTATCTTAGTAAAACAAGAGCTTATCATTAAACTCCAGCTTTTTCTCTTTTATTTACCCAGGAGACTTGCAAAATCCACATTGTTGCTTATTCCGTTATTTGGAGTTCACTACACAGTGTTTGCTCTATTTCCTGACCGCAGTTCCAATAATTATAAAATAATCTTTGAGTTGTGTTTGGGATCTTTTCAGGTAAATTTTAAAGTTTTTATTCAAAAGAAGTTTTATTGACCTAGGTTGGTGCTGCCTACTAACTAAGGAATATTGTCTCTTTCCAGGGGTTGATTGTTGCAGTCCTGTATTGTTTTTTGAACAGTGAAGTAAGTCTCATCTTTCCTACTGAGAATGATAAATATTGTTTTCAGTAAATTCGTAAGTGAAGTAAGTCTCATCTTTCCTACTGAGGATGATAAATATTGTTTTCAGTAAATTCATCACTGCCCCTATAATTCCACTCTGATACATGAGGCTGTTTTAGAAGATGTTTGCATTCCTATTTATATATGTGGCAGTTTCTATGCAACAGGAGAAATTAGTGTATTTGGGTGAAGAGTTAAGAGCTGTTTGAAATCTAATTCCTTGCAAACCGAGGTGTTAGTAAGTGTGTCTTGTTATTTAACATGATCTAATTCTAGCTCTGTTACAAGCAATGTGGGTTGTGCAAGTGAGGTGCAACAAGTCTAGAAATTTATCCAAAACTTGAAACACCATTTAGTTAGTATTTAGGGGTAATCTTCTGACAGAATCTAACCCCCAGAAAAGCAGCGGATTTTCAGAAGTGCTCAGCTTTCCTAATCTCAACTGAGGAAGACGCAAGGAATTCCTTTTGATGTCAGCCACTTTTTAAGGTAGAATGTACATTAAACAGCATGCAGCGTCTGACAGGAGGAATCTGTTGCTAATGTTGCAGCACAAGTGATACAAGACTGATTTTGAAAGTAGCCTTGGGGCATCTCCTCACAGACAGTGTAGACACAGTCTTTGCCTCTGTAATCTTTCTAAATTTGATACTGTAGAGGGAAGGGATGCCAACCAGAGGGACCTTGAAAGGCTTGGGAATGGGCCCATGCAAACCTCATGAAGTTCCACAAAGCCAAGTGCAAGGTCCTGCACCTGGGTTGGGGTAGTCCCAGGGGGGATGGAAAATTGGACATGAGCGGGCAATGTGCACTTGCAGCTGAGAAAGCAATCATATCCTGCATCAAAAGAAGTGTGGCCAGCAGGTCGAGAGAGGTGATTGTCCTCAGTAGAAGAATGACATGGACCTGTTAGAGTGAGTCTGAAGGAGGGCCACAAAAATTATCAGAGGGCTGGAACACTTATCCTATGAACAGAGGCTGAGAGAGGCTGAGAGGTTGGGGTTGTTCAGCCTGGAGAACAGAAGGCTTTGGGGAGACCTTATCGTGGTCTGACCTTATTCAGTATAAAAAGGGGGGATTATAAGGAAGATGGAGGAAGACTTTTTAGCAGGGCCTATAGTGACAGGACAAGGGGTAACGGTTTTAAACTTAAAGAGAGTAGATTTAGATTGCATGTAAGGAGGAAATTTTTTCTATGAGGGTGGTGGAGACACTGGAACAGGTTGCCCAGTGAATTTGTGGATGCTCCATCACTGGAAGTATTCAAGATCAGGTTGGATAGGGCTTTGAGCAACCTGATCTAGTGAAAGATGTCCCTGCCAACCCAAACCATTCTATGATTCTATTCCTATAGGTCCCCATTTGACAGCCAGTGGAAAAGTTTCTCCTGTAAAGAACATTTTCAGTTTGTCTAGCACATTTTCTTTTTAACTCAGGTGCAAGGGGAGCTGAAAAGAAAATGGCGGAGTTTGTGCTGGAAGCAGACAGCAGGCAGAGATTACAGACTCCACAGCTCTTCAATTTCTCGAAATGGGTCCGAAAGCATTTCTCAGCTCCACCGGAATTCAAGAGCTCAGTCGATTATGCAGACAGAGACCACCATGATATAAATCAGCTAGGTCCCCCAAAACATGAAAAACTGTGGGATATATCATTCATTATGCAGTCTGATGTGATATTTTATAAAATGTACAGTTTAGTGCTTTGCTTTTCTACATGTTGGTATTTGGGAAATTGGTTTGTGCAGCCAACCAGGTAATAACAGAGACACCTGCCCCATGGATGCCTTCTGGTTTTTTAAAATGGTATTCATATTAATTCTGAGGTTCTCTTGCTGTTTACTAGCCGTAACTATTCAAAAACTCATTTACTATAATGGTCCCTTTACCCT